GGAGGCGGAAGCTGAGGAAGTGTCTAACAAATCGGAACGCTACTTCTGCTTCGACTGTCACAGCATATTTGAGACTCGGCAGAGCGCAGAGGACCATAGCTGTCCCCAAGCTGAAGCAAACGGCGAAGCACGCGGCAAAAGCAACAACGCCAAGCTAGCCAAGACACAGACGCCAATGCGMCGAAAGGTCGCAGCTGCCKCGACTTCCAGCAGCAGCAACAGCAGCGTCACAGTGTGCGACATTTGCAATACGAAATTCAGCTCGGCCAAGTGTCTCAAGTTCCATATGCGCATTCACAACAAACGCGCTCCCAAGTCCATACAGGACGCTCTGCCCGTGGGCGCACATCAGCAATACAGCGAACTGGATCAGTTCTACTGTGAGATATGCAACAAGAGGTGAGCATTTATTGAAACTCTCGTAACTCTATTGGTTATTAAATAGTACCAACTCCTTTGCAGCTTCGAGCAGAACCTGTTGACGGTGCACAAGCAAATGCACCAGAGCCAGGAGCAGTTCTTGTGCGGCATTTGCAATCGCAAATTTGAAAATGCTACCAACTATGAGGTGCATTTGAAGATTCACGAACGTGCGCTGAACAGCAACAGCAATAGCAAYAGCAATGCCAATGCCAATAAAAAGCCTGCCAATGGAAAGAAGGATAAACCAGGATTTGCCTGTCAATACTGTGAGCGTGTCTTCTCCCGGCCGTACGAGAAGGTGAAGCACGAGCGTGTCCATACCGGCGAGAAGCCCTACAGYTGCGAGGTGTGCGGCAAGACCTTTCGCGTCTCCTACTCGCTCACGCTGCACCTGCGCACGCACACTAACATACGGCCCTATGTGTGCACCACTTGCAATAAGCGGTATTGGTTCCTTATCAATTTCAATGAATCAATCAATCTCATTATATTCGTTTCCCCATTGCAGATTTAAATCGTATCAGGTCTATTCGCATCATTTGCGCATTCACAGCTCGGACCGCCTATACGCCTGTGATAGCTGCCCGAAGGCCTTTCGCACCTCGGTGCAGCTCTATGCCCATAAGAATACGCACACGAAGCCGTATCAGTGCGCCGTCTGCAATCGGCCCTTTGCCTCGCTGTATGCCGTCAAGGCGCACATGTCCACCCACAGGACCAGCGACGCCAAGAGCGTCAGCAGTGCGGCCATCAAGAGCCAGCAGCTGTCGAACAAATATTGGTGCGTTACTTGCGGCGCCGAGTATGCGCGTCCCTTTGCCCTGCGTCTTCACATGAAGGCCGCCCATGGGCATCCGGATGATGCGGACACACGATTGGCCAAAGTGCCTGCTCCCGAAGATGAGGACGACGACGAGGACAACGATGAGGAGATTGCTGTGCCGGACACCGAGACGGCCGTMCTCATCGCAGCAGCWAAGGCCGATTCAGCCTATYTGGATGCAGCCGCCAATGATGTGGACGTAATGGGCGCTGTGCCCAAGTACGAAGAGTGCATTGAGGTATGCACGGATGCGGTGCGTACTTATTAGAGATCTGCATGACTGGCAAAAGATGAAAGCATTCGAATGAGCAATGCGCCAAATGCATTGAGTGACGATTAAATAAGTGAACTCGTAACGAATTGAATGAGTGGGAATGCGTCTAACCGAGATGCAAAGTGCTTTTAGCTTTGCCTTTTGCATTTTATGGTCTTTGCATTCTTACTCATTTATAACACGATCATACATGTATTCATGCTTACTCAATTCATTGTGTGCCGCTCACTCACTCAACTCAAGTCAATTCAACTTGACTTGTGTTGTGAGTGGATCCATACAGATCTCTAGTAGCTATCCGACATTTATATATATTGTATACTTATCAACATTTCCCATTGCAGTTTGACGTGGAGACATTTCACAGCGAAGAGATCATCACCGACTGGCTAAAGTGAATGAAAATAATAATAATAAATATATATATACATAAATAATAAAGAAAAAGCCTTGCAAAATACGGAAACAACTTTTATTGGAAAATTAACTAAAAAATATTTATTGCTGGCGTACATTGAGACCAGTCCATTGGGTTGGTTGTTGCATATATATTAATAATGATAATAATAATAATAATAAATGTATAAGTTAGAAAAATCGAAATGAATTAACTACATCTACTTTCAAAATATAATAGTAATATGACTCTAACATATAATAATTGTATTTATTTATTTATTTAGCAGTTCGTGTAACTATTCGTGCTGATCCTCTGTGTGCTTATGGTCGTCATCGCCATCATTCTCGTCGCATATCTCTTTGAGCACCTCCACCAGAGTCTTAGCCTCGTCCAGCTCTTGCCGCATCGTGTTCATCTCCTCTTCGAGTCCCTCGATGCGTTCGTGCAAATGGCGATTCTCGTTGAGTGTCTCCTCGAGGGCCACGCGTCGCTGCTCCGATAGCAGTTTGTAGTAGTTCTCACCCGGTTCGCTCTCGCTGGTCAGATCAGCCGCTGTGATTGGCTTATCGGCATCGCTGGTGGACGCACAGTCTTCGGTCTGTGTATCGGCATCCTGTGTGGTTATTGTTGTTGTGGCCGCTGTATCGACACATTTGCGTTTGCCATATTTGGGCGTTGTATTGACGCCGGCTTTTAAGCGACTGAGCTGATCCACGATGGAGACACGTCCCGTTAGATTCTCCTTGTCGTTGGCGTTGGCGCTAGCCTGAATTGGCTTTAGTGTCTTGCGTTGTTGTTTCAGATGCTCCTGCTGCTCGGCCTCGCTTTCTACTTGAATGTAAACTCGTGCAGCGCTTGCGGACATTTTCAAATTGTTTGGTTTCGTTTTATTTAAATCTAAATGCGCGTTTTTTGTCAACACATTAAATTATGCGTTTTGGCTTGCGACTTTCAGTTCTTCGTTGTGATGGCCGCCAAAAAGATGCCGCGTGCTGCTATTCAACACTGTTTTTGATGTGTTTTGCAGTACTATTTTGGTTGCCGCTGCATTTGCTTGTGTGGGTATTTAAATACTATCGTTAAATACTATGTATTTTCCTAAAAGTGGCAACGCTGTGCATCAACAGATGATTGAAGACGCGCATGCAAACGTTTTGCGGCTTTTGTTGTATTATTTGCAAATAAAAGCAAAATGAGCGAAAAATCAACACAGCCGCTGCAAGTCGAGCTGAATTTTGTAAGTATATATTGATGGTATGCTTGCCCACATAGCTAATTGCGTATTTTTAGGAAGAGGAGGATGTGCCGTACGAGGAAGAGATTCTACGCAATGCGTATTCCGTGAAGCACTGGCTCCGCTACATCGATCACAAGGCTAAGGCTCCCAATAATGGCGTTAACTTAGTGTACGAGCGCGCYTTGAAGGAGCTGCCGGGCAGCTACAAGATCTGGTATAACTACTTGCGTACGCGTAGGAAGCAGGTGCGGGGCCGCATTCCCACAGATCCCATGTACGAGCAGGTGAACAACACGTTTGAGCGTGCGCTGGTTTTCATGCACAAAATGCCACGCATTTGGATGGACTATGGCGTGTTCATGAGCTCGCAGTGTAAAATCACACGCACCCGCCACGTTTTCGATCGTGCGCTGCGTGCCTTGCCCATCACGCAGCATGGACGCATCTGGCCGCTGTACCTGAAGTTTGTGCAGCGTTACGAGATACCCGAGACGGCGCTGCGTGTCTACAGGAGGTATTTAAAATTGTTTCCCGAGGATGCAGAGGAGTATGTGGCCTACTTACAGGTGAGATAATAGATTCCCTAAAAGAAAATATTGATTTTTACAACTTGACTCAATTGCTGTAGGAGGCACAACGTCTGGACGAAGCGGCACAGCAACTGGCGCACATTGTGGACAACGAGCATTTTGTGTCAAAGCACGGAAAGTCAAATCACCAGCTATGGAACGAGCTCTGCGATTTGATCTCGAAGCATCCGCACAAGGTGCACTCACTCAATGTTGATGCAATTATTCGTGGTGGTCTGCGTCGCTACACGGATCAGTTGGGGCACCTCTGGAACTCTCTGGCTGACTATTATGTACGCTCAGGCCTGTTTGATCGTGCTCGTGATATCTACGAGGAGGCCATACAGACGGTGACCACAGTTCGGGACTTCACTCAAGTCTTCGACGAGTATGCGCAGTTTGAGGAGTTGTCGTTGAACAAGCGCATGGAGCAGGTTGCAAAYGATGAAGACGCCAACGAGGAGGACGAYATTGACGTCGAGTTGCGTCTCTCGCGCTTCGAGTATTTGATGGAACGTCGTCTGCTGCTGCTCAACAGCGTGTTGCTACGCCAGAATCCCCACAATGTGCATGAGTGGCACAAGCGGGTGAAACTGTATGAGGACAAGCCTGAGGAGATTATCAACACCTATACGGAGGCCGTGCAGACGGTGCAGCCGAAGCTGGCAGTGGGGCAGCTGCACACGCTGTGGGTGGAGTTCGCCAAGTTCTACGAGGAAAATGGGCAGGTGGACGATGCGCGCGTGGTATTTGAGCGCGGCACGCAAGTGGAGTACGTTAAGGTGGAGCACTTGGCGGCAGTGTGGTGCGAGTGGGCCGAAATGGAACTGCGCCAGCAGCAATTCGAGGCTGCGCTCAAGCTAATGCAACGCGCCACGGCAATGCCAAAGCGAAAGGTTGCCTACCATGACGAGACGGAGACGGTGCAAATGCGTCTATATAAATCCCTGAAGGTGTGGTCCATGTACGCCGATCTGGAGGAATCTTTTGGCACTTTCAAAACCTGCAAGGCTGTGTACGAGCGCATCATTGACCTGAAGATTTGCACGCCACAAATTATCATTAATTACGGCCTGTTTCTGGAGGAGCACAACTACTATGAGGAAGCCTATCGTGCATACGAGAAGGGCATTGCGCTRTTCAARTGGCCGAATGTCTACGAYATATGGAATTCGTATYTRACGAAGTTCTTGAAGCGCTATGGTGGCACCAAACTRGAGCGTGCTCGCGATCTWTTCGAGCAATGCCTSGAYAATTGTCCGCCGGAGCATGCCAAGTACTTCTACTTGCTCTATGCCAAGCTGGAGGAGGAGCACGGCCTAGCACGACATGCCATGGCCGTGTACGACCGAGCGACCAGCGCCGTCAAAGAGGACGAGATGTTCGATATGTACAACATATTTATCAAGAAGGCAGCCGAAATTTACGGACTGCCACGCACACGCGAGATCTATGAGAAGGCCATTGAGGCGCTGCCGGAGCAGAACATGCGGCACATGTGCGTCAAGTTCGCCGAGCTGGAGACAAAGCTGGGCGAGGTGGATCGCGCCAGAGCCATCTATTCGCATTGCTCACAGGCAAGTCATATGCAAATTATCCCCATTTACATTTTAATCATAATCAAATCGTCTTTAGGTCTGCGATCCTCGCATTACCGCCGATTTCTGGCAGACCTGGAAGGAGTTCGAGGTGCGTCACGGCAACGAGGACACAATGCGTGAGATGTTGCGCATCAAGCGCTCGGTGCAGGCCACCTACAACACCCAGGTCAACATGATGGCAGCTCAGTTCCTCAATACGAATAGCGGTGCTGCAGCCGATGCGGGCGCTGGCTCTGGCTCGGATGCCATGCGCATGCTGGAGGAGAAGGCGCGACAAGCGGCAGCCGAGGCCAAGCAGAAGCCCAGCCAAACGACTTCTTCCAATATTATGTTCGTGCGTGGCGAAACGCAAGGCGGCTCCAAGACCAAGGACAATACGGTCGTTAATCCTGATGAGATCGATATCGGCGACAGCGACGAGGAAGATGACGATGAAGATGAAGCAGAAGACGCTGCAGAGCAGGCGCCAGAGGGCGACTCAGCTGCAGCTACGAAAACTGATGCGGAGGGTCTCATTATGAAGAAGTTGCGCTTCGAACAAAAGGCAATACCCGCCAAGGTCTTCGGTGGCCTGAAACCCAGCACTCAGCAAGACTCCGATGAGGAATAAGAATATATCAGAATTGCTGGAAAAATGTGTTCTCAATTATGTAATCTTTAGTTGAAAGTTCAATTAAACAATCCCATCTAAGTAATGGATAAATATGTATTTCTCTCTCTCTCCCTGAAAC